CACCGCTGCCTGTCCCGAGCGCAGCCCAAGCCCCCCTACCAGGAAGAGTTCAGTGCAGCCCCTGCATTTCCTGAAAACCTGTGTTAAATCAGAGGTTCCTAGACATTTTTTTGAGCTGGCATGAATCACATCTCAGAGACAATTTCTCATCAACACCACCCCTTCCATTCATGATTCCAACCTGCCTTTGGGGTGATGATGGCAGTTGCTTACTTGAAAGCAATGTAAGGGGAAGGTTTGATTCATAGTTTACTTCAGCAGGACTAGTGCCATGCTGAAAGCCCCTTGCCCGAATCAAAGCCTCATTGCCCAGATTATAGCTGAATAGGGTGGGAGGGGGATTCTAGCCACGCACAGGCGTAGGGCGTCCTGTGCTGCATGCACATCTTTGTTGGGCAGAGAAACAAAAGGCACAGATGGCTAACTACTACACTCTGGGCTTTGCTGTATGGGAAATTATACCAGTATAATTACAGAGGTTCAGTTATATGGATGAAACTTCTTGCATGGACAAATTTATTTTGCAATAAAGCTGGCTTTTCCCAGTTTCATTTTAACCAAGTGATGCAAATTAAACCTGAAAAGGCCCTTTTCTACTCAGGTTAAGTCCTCCCCACGGGGAGTTCCCCCACCAGAATATAACACGGTGCAGTCTTAAATTCACGCTCACCATTAGAGCAGGAGCAGCACCTACCATGCACAGGTAAAACCACTGAGACACCTTGCTCTACAGAGCAGAACGCCTGCCCTTCCCTGTGCCTGTGAAATAATGTCACCCCCTGGTTTTACAGGCATGGGTCTGAGCTGCTCAGCCAACCCACAGGGTACAGTGTAGACCAGAGGTCAGCATCTTCACCGTGCTGTGACCCATTTGAACCTTCTTTTTAAAACATTTTTGGTCCCTGCACAACTTGGAGTTGGGGGGAGCCTCCATATTTCAGGATGAAAAGCTGTGTGCAGTGGTGAGGAACTGTGGCACTCCTAGCACTGTCCTGATGTCTAGATTGGGGGGGGAAGAGGAGCTGTCCCCCCAGCTCCCCAAGGAAGTCAACATTTCAAGCCGTGCATACAGATGAGTTTGCCATCGAGCTGAGACAGCAACAGCGCCCGGGTATTTCTCATCAATCGAGGTGTGCGTATGTAAGCTGGCAAGCATGTGTGCGCGCACATACGTGTGGCATATACCCAAGATTTATGCAAACGCACATTCATATGTAAATGCAGATCTAATCCTATTCCTTGTCAGGCTGTAGCCCAGCCCTCGACATCCTGAGGTGTCTGAGCAGAACAACTGAACCTCAGATCAAACATCAGCCCGAGGGGGCCCCCTCAGGGAAGGAGCGGTGCTGTGATGGGTCCCCTTCCCTTCTTCCATCCAGGCTTTCTCCTGGCCCAGCCTCTCCCGGGCTTGGCGTTTCCACCCACTGAAGGCACAAGGGCACACGCACACCCCTCCATACTAGCAACCTCTTAAAAGGCTGCTCATGGGACTGAGCTCAGTCTCTTTCCTAGTCTATAAACAAGACATATTTTTGTGACTGTTGATTTAACAAAGCGACTATCAAAGTCTCCACAGCCCTTCCCGCAGCTCTGTCCTTTATTAATCACAACCTGCCTCAGACTATGTGGGGAAAGGGCCGGATGCTGGCTGAGAAGGAGCTCCAGCACGTTGTCAATCCCAACCACCCAGGAGGCCGCCGGCTGCCCAGGACCCTGGTGGAGGGGCTCACGGGCAGCTGGTCATCGAATCTCCCACCTGCCTTTTGTTGCAGGGTAGGACTCTCTTTCTGGACCGAAATTTTGCCTCCTGCCACACAAAACAGGGCCTCTCTTACTGCTAAATGTCCAAAATAGATGGAGATGAAGAGCTACAGATAAAGTCAGAAATCTGATGGGCCTCTCAGGTCACAGGTATGAACCCACATTTCGCTTCTCCACTGCATCTGAAGTTGTGTTCCCCTCTCTCAGGCCATCTGGACTACTAAGTATGTTCCCGTCCTTCCCCTGTCTAGCCAGCTCACATGGTGACGCTTATCACAGCATGTATTGACAGCACATAGGAGTGGGTGCTGCCTGGTAAATGAACAGGTACCAAGTGAGACCCCAGCCCAGACAGTAGCCAAAGGAGGATGCCGAGGATGGGGAGGATTGGCCTCATGATGAATGCCTACGAGGGACTGGTTTCATTAATAAAACATTCCTGCTCTTGCCTGCTCTCACCCGCTCTCTCCCTTTGATTTTGATGACAGGGTTAACCCCATATTCACAATGCCACGTAACCCGCAAAGCCATCTCTTCTGAAGAAAGTAATTTCATCCGTCTCTGCCCAATTGCTGCACAACTCTTGGCTGTGTTGATCAGCTCTCCAACACCTTTTCTAGCTGCTCCTGCCATTCTTTCAACCTCCCTGAATCTCCCCAGTTTCTGCCTGGTTGATGGGCAAGAGCCACCTCCCATCCATCCACCCACCCACCACAAACATGATGAGACCAAAGGAAAATGAGTTAAGGGAAAGTGTTGCTTTGTGTATTGAAATGAGATCATATCGTGTTTGTGTGTGTGCACGTGCATGCATGCACGCACACCCACATGCTTATGACTTCCCACATACCCTGAAAGATCACACTTACCCCCTGCTAACTTGGTCCCATTCCAAACCTCCCATTGAGAAAGACATCATCAGATAAGTAATCGATACTTTCCCTGGCTCTGTATATTCTTCAAACTGAAAGAGTTCAAACAGTGGATGCATTTCTCCCTACACCGGCTGTTTCTTTACTCTTTGCATTTCTCTCCCCTGCTCAACATCCACAGGTTGGTTAGTTATATTTTTGTTTCTAGCTAAATTTCAGCCTTTGGCTCTTGAGTAAAGTAGCAAAGGCTGCAGCAAACTTTGACTAACACTTTCCAAGAGGATTTTTTCAGATCATGGAGGCACTTCGATTTTTCATAGGTTTTGTAAAAGCTGCTTTATAAAAAACACAAACGCTCCCCTCCCCGCTGAATTCCATGATGTATTTCAACTGACAACCCCTTAATTGGTCCAAAAGAGCATTTCATTGAGTGAAATCTCTTCCAAAAAAGGAGGGAGAAAATACTGCACACAAATGAAATGCCTAGCGGGTTGCCAGGGGCTGAAGTATTTGTTTGCACACATGAGGGGAAGTGACTCCAATGCACTCAAGGTTTTGCCTCCTGTGAGTTATAGCTCTACCCTTCAAGAGCGGAATAAATGCTTTATCCCATCGCAGCCTGCGATGTATTCTACATAGATGGATTGATTTCCCCTATTGTTCTTAATAAATCCTGGTATATGAAAAAGCCCATCGCACAGCCATTTTGCTGCCCTGTTCTACCTTGCAGAAGTAATAAGGGTGATTAGAACCGCAGTGGGAAGGAAGGGTTATGCAGAGGGTGACTCTCCTGGGTTGCTATTAGATGGCAGACTGATCGCCATTTGCTGGGAGCTCCAGTTGGCTCCAGACAAAAGGCACCCTTTTTCCAGTCTATTTCTTTTCTCCAGCTTTGCTTAAACTGTTAAAAGTAAGGCCACTCATTCTTAGTAGCTGGTGTAGCTCCACTGGCAGTAGCCACAATATAAGCTAGGTTTGGGGCTTGATTTTTTTTTAAGCTACCAATGTCTCTCAGCCCTGCTCTCTGGAGCCAAGTCCTGTCCAGCTCGCAGCGCTGCCTCCATGGATGGAGCTACACCAGATACACCTGTGGCAAATTACAGGCCCTTCTCTTGACAGCAGAGACAGGGCTCTGCTCTCTGCAAGACTTACCACCCACCACCTGTCCAGCAGCTTGCCAAAAACAAGTCCATGATCTCTTCCCACTTCTTAGCAGACAAGTTCTCAGATCACAACCCTAGCACTCAGCAGGTCTTTCAGCTTCTCTGCTGAGAAGTTCAGGAGTCTGACCTCTCGACCTTAGGACAGTTTAATACAAACAGCATTTCCTATCTTCTGTTTTTAAAACCAGTGTTAAAGGAGGCTTTGCCTTCCCCAATGCATTTTCTTTCTGTGCAAATAACAATGGATTTTCTTTCTAATTTCTTTTTAAAAAATTCTATAAGCTGCTTTTCTTCCCAGCTCACGAGCAAGCCAAGGATACACCACTGCTTCAGAAAGCAGATGGCTGCATCCTGACCTGGCTTTGATTCCTACCTCCTACTCTATATATAGAGAGAGGAATTATTGCTGGGGGACTTACAGAGCAACAGCAAGTATCTGCCGGCCCAGATTGGAAAAGCGAGCTAGGGGTGCAGGGAGAGCAAGGGTTGACCTGGAATTGAGGCTGCAGATCGAGACTCCAGAGCATATGTTCAAGTCATGCCTTCGACAACTCTGTCCAGTGACTCACCTCTCCTTGCCTGCACAGAGATGTCCTGCGTCTTCCCACTATATCCCAGTCTGTGAACTTCCAGTCAGGTCTGATTAAGGAAGAAAGAATTCATCTCAATTAGCAAGAGGCTGCCACATGTATGGGTGGATGTCACATCATTATTGAACATTGCTCCCTGAGCAACAGCTGCAAAATATGTCTTAAATTTGGGACTACCCACAAGATACCGCCCCCCTGTGTGCACACGGTTTGTATTACACACGCGCACGCACGCACAAACACAGTTGTATGTTATAGATCCAGGAATGCTTTGTTTATGCAAATGTTTTTTAAACCCATTCCCTAGCGGCAACATAGGCAGCCCTGTAAAATACAGCAAGACACTATCGTTTTCTCTAATAAGGAAATAAAGCAGAATGGATCTGTGTGGCCAGATCCCAGAGAGCAACACTGTCTCTTTAATTTTCTCTCTGGCTATCTCATCCTTTGCATGAACCCTTTCCTCCCCATGGCTTCTTCCAGCCTGGTGGGCAAAGTGGGAAAACATCATTAGGGAGAAAAAATAATTTAGTTTGTTAATCAGTATCCAATGGTGGGAAACAACAGAGACAGAGATCAGGGCTGGCAGTTGGAGCTTAGGAAGGGCCAGCACAAAGCCACCATTCATGACATCCGGGGCTGGGGTTCTCATTGAATTAAACAGACACAAAGAGCAGAGGCATTTCATGCTCTCTCCACAAGAATTATCATATCTCCCTGGCACTAAGAAACCTTCAGCATAAGAGAGAGGGGGAGAAAAGAAGCGGGCAGGCTGGGCAGAAATATGGGCCAAGGTACAGAAGGCTTTGTTCAAAGGTTGGATTTATAGATGGGAGGCAGCATATGGCTTGGCTGGGAGTAACTGGCCTTCATGCACTGCCTTTAATAAGACTCCGCTAATGTGAAACAGGGGCCCCTGTGTATCGTGAAGCAGGGAAACCCCCATTGGAAAATAAACAAAATAACTGTTTGCATTTCAAGGCTTTGGAAGGAGTCTGAAGCCAAAACAGGACGTGTCTCGTGCGTGTGCGTCTGTCTATGAGCGCAAGAGAATGATTCTGGTGGGTGAGGGGTGCTGAGAAGAGACCAGACATAGTTCAGTCATGAAAATTAATTAGCTAATGTGCAAGCCCTGGCTGACTCTTCCTGCTGCCCCCCCCCCCCCCCCCCCCCCCCC